GTGGAGGTACGACGGAATCGGCGGAAAGCGCTGGATAGTGGAAGCAGTATTCCGGTCGGAAATAGCCGGATTATTTTCCTGTAGATTCCGGCTGGAAGTTGGCCGGAATACACAGAAAAAAATCCGGCAAATCCCGCCCGGAATACTGCTTCCCCTTTCCAGCGCTTTCCGGCCAGATACGTTGATTTTTCCGCATCATTCCGCCGATTCCTACAGTATCCGTCCTCCAGAATCATTGACCTGGAGCCCTTAACTTTTATCAACCCTCTTATATATATATCCCATAACGCATCATCTTGATCATATCGATAAGAATTTAAAACGAAAGGAAATTAATGAATAAATAAGTTTACTATTATTAAGTTTGAACATACCACTTGGATCATGTCGAATTGTAGTTGAAAGAAAGCGAAAACAGCTGAAGAGCGTATATATGACATAAGGCTGTTTCAATAGTATTAAAATGGTTTCAGATTTGGAAAACAAAACGATTCGTGATCTTATCTGTCATACTTGATACAGTGACCAGTTTTATTTCACTGGATACATCCGAAACTGAGCAATGACGAAGAGTGAAAACTTCTTTTGAGAAGTTTTAGGACTGTGATTTCTTTCATTCTACAGAATATTCTAAAAGCATTCAAAGCTCTAGTAGTCTTTCGTTGCATCAAATAGAAACTCGAGGTCGGATTTCGAGTTGTTGATGCACATTTTAGCGATTGAGTAAACCTAGAAAATCTTAGGTTTGTCAGGAGAAATATTTTGGAAATTTAAAGAATAATTTGATATACCCCATCAGATTGTGAGTCAAGTTTTCAATAGTGTAGGTTTCCTTGAATACCCTAGTGATTTCTGAAAATACGCTTAGGTTTCCATTATCGAGAAAAAGGGGATTCAAAATATACCCTGAGCGCTGTAACTCAGGTTACATTTTTTATTAGATCTTTAACTCTCTCGACTCTTATTGAAAAGCGCTTGTTACACAGAAAGCTGTGGCAAATCAAACATCTAGCTGTCAAATTACTTTTTCAATATTTCTTGTACGAAAATAGTGAATTTTTTCATTTAAAATCATTTCTCTAAATAATACTTTGAAATGCATTCTAGGATAAGGCATTATCTTAAAATTTTCCCTTATTTGAAATAATGCATTACAATGCATTGAAAAGTCAAAAAGTAATTAATTATAATGCATTAATTCATTCTTTTTTTACACAATGGAAAGTAATGGGTCATTTTTCCAGTATTCATTCATTATCGGCTACATGGGTACGTTTCACAAGATTAGACTATCAAAAAGTTCTGAGATGTTAGAAGATATTATTAGAAGTGTTTTGAATGATATACTTTAGATCAACAAGAAATCGAATCAAAATGGGTCGACATAAACGCAAATCTATAAAACAATATTCAGAATGCACTATATGTAATAATTCTTATTCGACTTCTTCTTCGGTGATTCCTCGTTGCTCTGTAGATTCTCTTTCATGCCATAATACTATTTGTGATTCATGTCTTCATAAACATATCTTGAATTCTATTTCAAAAAGTTTCATCAATCCAGTATTTTGTCCTGGACTAGCATGTCGTGCTAAACTAAACGAAATAACTATTCGAAAAGCACTCGTTCCATTTGGTTATCAATCTTTATGGGACGACTATGTATTGAGATCTAATTGGTCTGGAACAAGTAAAGAATGGATAGAACATTTTGCTGTTAAATGTCCTTGTTGTCGAGTACCGATTGAAAAAAACGGTGGTTGCGATTATATGGTATGCAGACAGTGTGCTCTTCATTTCAATTGGATGCAAGCGAAAACTGGAAATTATCATACAATTAAAATTTGGTGGAAGAAATTTAGATATCAAATGCCAATTTCTCTTTATGCATTATTTTTTATTACATTCTTGTTTTTGGTTTTATTCATAAAATTTTTAAGTTTTCTGAGCAGTTAATAGATGTCGAATATATTTTTTTATTTATATTAAAAATAAGTTTCTACTAATTATGAAGCTCTATGAAAGAAATAAAAACTTTTTCTTATATTTGCTTTTCGTGTCAGTTCATCGTTTACGAATATGTATGTTGTTCTTTTATAGTTGATTTAGATCAGTTATTTATTGATTAAACACATATGTTTTGTCTACATGAAAGATCATGGACTAAGATAATCTCAATGTTCATCATGAAACTTTTTATGTTTCCGCACGATAATATTTTATAGGTGTGTAAATCTACATGAAAATACTGTGACCATTTTTATTTTATTACATGTGTATATAAGTTTATGGATATATCGATAGGGACAATGTCTGTCTAATGATAAACCATAGAAAGAAAAAGAAAGCATTGATTTTTTATTATTTTTCACTCTCTCACTCTCTCATTGTCGTGCATGGTTGATTTCATTATTGTACTATTTGAAAAATATTCAACTATAAAAGTATTCGCTTTTGTTTTTGTCCTATCACACTATTGTTAATACTAAATAAAATGTGAGTAATAATTTTATTTTTGCTTTCGAATCAATATTCAGAATCGTTGAACTTATCTTTAGGAATCCATATGGTGGAAATCCTTTTACTGGCAACTCTCCATTTCAATATCCAGGTTCATTTCCTCAACAAGATTTTGGACAATTCGGTAATAATGGAGGATATTTCAATGGTTTAGGTTCATTTCCAACAGGGAATGCACATCAAGGTAGTTTTCCATTTTCTCTGAATCCTCCTACTCCTGGCTTTCGTCAAACACCGTTTAACAATCAATTCGGACAAGGTTTTAATTTTCCACCAGCATCTGGTGGTTCTGATGCTTATCAACAATCTCCATATATGCCTCAATTTCCTCGAGCATCACAACCTCCATATACGCCTCGATTTCCTGCAGTATCACAACCTTCATACGTTCCTTCTTTTCCTCCTGAACAAAATCAATTTGGAGGTTCCAATTATTTTGGTAGTGGCGCCTATGGCCGAAATCGATCTCGCCGTTCGTCTCGTCATCGATCCAAACCACGCCATCGCAGTACTTCATCATCAAGCAGTAGCGATGATAATCGACGTCGAGGTTCACCTTTTGATGTTGCCGACAATGCTTTTGGTAATGTTTCATCTTATCAAAATATGCAACCAAGAATTGGTTCACCTCTCCTATCTCCTCGTCTACGTGATTGGTAATTTTATTTCACATCTTTTTTTTCTGTTTGTTTATTCTTATGGCATAAGTAGACCAGTGAATCTACCTACAAATAAAGGTACTTTGTTATTAGTATCGCGTAAATAAAATAGAAAAGGTCGTGAAAATGTTAATTGTATTGGATCTTCATGTAAAAACATTCCTGAGCGTGATAGCATTTGAATAACAGTAACAGCAGCTGCTTCAGTTCCAGCTTCATCAACATCAATGACAGCTTTATGTATAATTTTCGATATAAACAAATCGCGTTCACGTGTTGAACTCATTAAACTGAAATCTGCTTTATCAGCATCAAAAGGAGCTTTAACATTATAATATTGTTTAAAATGTTGAACAAAATCTAATGATGATTCAATACGAAATTTCGGTAATGCTAATTTCACACGTGTATTTCCACGTGTACGATTATCGAGTGAAATAAAAATATTTGTTAGAATTTTCGAATTACGTAAAAGTTTTTCTAATACACGTAGTTCAATATCTTGATCTGGAAGAGCAAGCGTTAATACATATCTATTATTTCCTTTGTATGGTAAATTAATCCATTGAGATTTATGTTTCTTATCATAGTAATAAGAAAAATGTGATACTGAATGCATCGTTTGCAATTCAATTAATTTACCTGTACTTAATGTAAAATTTTCTGACGTTGTTAAACCCGAATCGAATGCTTTAAGCCATGGTGCTTTAAAATGTAAAGTATTAACAAGCATAAGACGTGTTAATGGATGTATATCACTTGCTTTTAAAACATTTTTAATAACATTATTTGTTTGATTTGATATCCACTTATTGATTTGTGCAGCAGATTTTTCTTTTTCATTAAAATCAATTAGTTCTAATTGACTTTGATAGTATTTTTCTAAAATTTTATTGAACTCATTATCTAATTCAAATTCATCATCGGCATAAAGACGATTAGCAATATTTAATGATACATTATATTGACGATTACTTTGCATACTTTTTTTTGCATCAGTTAATAGGGTTGTTGACCAGTCACGATAGGCTTGTTTAGTCTTTAAATGAGTTATACGTTCGAATTCTTTAAATGTATTTCCATCGGCACCTTCGCCAACCATTAACATTGCTTCATAAAGACTTAATGGTGACCAAACTAGACTACGACGTCCGACAATATTCGACGACGAATGATAACGAGTAAATTCAAGTGTAAAATCAAGAATTGATTTTGAGAGATCATTTTCAACAGTTTTTGAACGAGCTGCAGTAATTATATGCAGTAACGTTACGAGAAGAATAGCTTGATATAGAAGACTATCAATACAACGCATGTTTGAATATAAAGAAGAGTGAATGATCGCGATAACACGCTATGCGTGTACATTTTTTTTTTCGTTCGTAGTTTACATGTTGACATAGGAGAAGAGATCAAATATAGGCCGTTCTTTACTGCTTTTTCTCCGTCATTTCATTCTCTCATTTACTTCAATCTATGAATCCTATGACACAAAGAAAAGAAATAATACTTGTTTTGTGTTCTATTGAATGATTAAAACTTCTCAAGATAGTCATTTTCTTATCTATTTTAAGTTGCCATCCTTTATTATTTATAGCTGTATGAATAACATTTTATCTCGAATTTTTCGGTTAGACCAATTACTCATACTTCCAAATTATTTTATTCATGGTTTTTCAAGAATCGGACGTAAATCCTTCCCAGCAAGATTATTTTAAGGAACAAGTTGTCATAAAAATTAAATCTAGGTATATTTTATAAGAATATTATATTGAAAAGAGGTTTGCTGTTTGTCGAATAATTTATTTATACTGCCAACAGTCTGTGCAAGACATCAGCTGCGCCAATACATATTATCGCGTGAAAAATGCATAGTAATGAAAAGAGTATTTCACCGATAAATATTTGACGAAGGATAAACATATTGAAAATATATGGTTGCTTTTCGTTTTTGATAAATTATTCTCCATAACTGAATATTAATGATAAAATAATTTCATTTACCCAAATTTTCACTGGCCATGTTAACGAACAAATGAGTTATTGCAATTGAATAGTTTTGTCAAAACTAGTAAAGAAAACTTTCAACGATGAATCTATCGTCAGTTCATCGAGATCTATGCTACGATTTGTTTTAGAGTTATTTCTGATACATTAGTTCTATGAAAACCTATAATGCTTAAATAATAGGTCTGCATTTCTTTTTGTGTATGTTTTACATCATTTGCATAAAAGTTTAGTCAAAAAAGAAATGGAATGAATCATAATATCATATAATTCTATCTATTATTTTTGCATCATGGCTAAAAAATGATTCGTGTGATATTAAATGAGAAAAAAAGTCTTTACTAAAAATAGCTGGACTATGATTCTCGTATGTGATGATTAGATGATATTTGACAAGCTTATGAATCGAGAATATACCAAATAAAAAATTTCCAAGCCTTTTCATACCAATAGAACATCGACTGTAATTACCGTTAATAAGTTTCGCTTGTTTCTACTTCAATGATAACATTAGTCTCATCAAATTAGCTGCTTTTTTTAATTGAGAAATTAGCCGCTGATTGATTCGTATGATTTGTTATCTAGATGTTTGTAAATAGACCATATCAAATCGAAATTTTGTCTTCGTATATTGTCCTCGCACTATTTTTACTAAAATAAAAAAAAAGGAATTGATTGTTTTTTGTTAAGATTATTTTGATTGACGTACACAATTACAGATGACCTTTGAAACGAAAAAACGTGACTATTTTGGTCTTAGATATTGTGCTTTTGATTATATCAACTTTCAATTATGCGAAATTAATCATACCTATATTATATGATTTGAAGTTCTGCCGAGAGTCACTTTCTATCACATATAGATATAGCAACAAACTCAATCGTTTCATGTAAAAACAAAATTAAAATTAAAAAAAATGGTTATCAACAATCGAATTATCATTAATAAAATCATAGACGCGATTACTATATTGATAAGCTTCAATATTATTCGATACATCCTATCCTGAAATTTTTTCAACATTGGTACTTTTTAGGTTGTAGATTTCCCGTAAAGTAGGATTAAAATCAGAAAACTATTCAAGCTAAAAATCCTCAAGTATTTAGACTAGTGCCATCTTTAGGAATTAAAAAACCTTATATTCTCTTCATAAATCTGTAATGTCGTAAAAATTACCCCATGAATATTTTTGTAATTGAAAATCATTGAAATATGTGAATTCCCATAGAAGCTCATTGAAAAAAAGATGCGCTTTGACATCAAAAAGAAGGCTTACAGTGTTGGACAACAATCTGATCGGCGAAACAAATGACCATAAGAAGTAGAAAAAAGACGTTCGGATTAAAAGCACTATCTTATGGATTACTACAAGCATTACCGTATTACAATGTCAATGCATCCATTTATTCCTATCGGATAGTCTAGAATAAATGTCACATTCAGTATTTCAAAAATATCCTGATCGATCGTCATCGTTCAGATTTCTATTGCATAGCAAAAGACTGGTCATAAAATTTTCTGCAAAGCTAGATAAGAAGTTTAACTATAGAAGCTCATATAGTGAAACTCCTATGAAAGTGATTACGAGACATTAAAATGACTAGTTTCCAATAGTTTTTAAAATTTTTCTCACGAACAAATAGTATATCATGTTTAACAATCAAGTAAATATACAAACCTGTAGCCTTTGAAAAAGGTGATGTTTTCTCAGATTTTTGAAATACACTTTTCTTACTTGAACTAGATTAACAAGTTGTACTTATTGTTCGACATTTATAATACGTATCGACGGAATTTCTGCGTGACTTCTGAGAATCTCATAAGCTTCTATCGCAAATCTTGTTTAGAGTCGCAATTTTTTCACTCGATTTCACGAAAAATCATAGCTCTACCGTGTTCAAGCAGAGAATTTAAGGAAAAATTCATTTTGCAAACTTTAAATTATGACTCAGAGTACACATATCACTCTGACAGTACTTGCTGTAGAAAAATGAACTTGGCGTGCGATGGAAAGACTTGTTTCTGTCAATTAAAATGCATGTAAAAATCATTGTTTTACTGTCTCATAATCTTTTTTACATGATTATTTCTTATGAGTTTCGATGGTCGAACTTCTTATATGACTTTGCAGAGATTTTCATGGCAAGTATTTTGTCATAAAGAATAAATCGGGAGGATGAAAAGTGACGAAGATATTATCGAAGTGCTTAGGGTAACATTTATGTTGACCCACTCGATGCAATGCAAATACTTGCATATGCATATAGACTATCGAAAACATAAAAAAGCAGGTTGAAAAAATACATCACGCTTTTACTTTACATTTTCGAATGACTGTTAGTTTTTGCGATTAAGCAATAGTACTTGATTTTGAAGAGTCATCCATATTTTTAATTCAGTCATATATTTACTACTAGAAACGTTCATTCTTTTTCTTGTCGCCGCTTGAATAGACTTCTAACCCATTTATTCATTACTTTAACAACCATCAATAAAACAAATGATTGTTTCGTACTATGCACTATAATATGTCGATAGCACCGTTTCTATTTGCAAGATGTGCAGCATATTGAAATGCTATTCGTGCGAGCCATTTGTCTGGATTGATACATATGTCTTTTTATTATATGCTAAATTCATATTCTTTCCTTCTATGTCATGAATCGAGTAGCAGTATGCGAAAGAGAAAAAATCCTTAATTATATTTGTTATTTTACAGGCTGCAATTAAATAGATGAGATTTTTCCATTGATTCATACGAAATACCAAAATTTTATAAACTGTATGAATGTATGCACATTAACGTGTTGTTTTATTCTAAAAGCGTTTTTAACAAAAACTATTCTTGCATCAGTAATCATGGCCCTCTTGATAGACATCACATTCGTAGGAAACATGAAGGTAAATGTGCGAAAGATTTGCTATCTTTTATCGAAAAAGCAATATTATAATTCAAATTTTCAAAGAAACGTCGACTTTTTTTTATCATATATTATTATAATATGTTTACACCGGTTCGATTCATAAGAACAGTTCTTTTTGTCAAAAAAAAACTAACAATTCGAGGTCAATCTTAAGACTTAATTTCATTTAATTTCTATGGTTCACAGTATAATTGAAAAAATTACATTTATTCATATATATGTATGATCACATTAATTATTCCATATCTACGTCAGTTCAGTCAATATAACCGGTTGATTTCAAAAGTGCAGATGTTTTCATAAGAGAAAAAAATGTCCATCTCGTCAAATTTTTTTCTTTGAATTATGTTAAAAATACCACAAGAGAAAGATAGAATATATATATGTGTGCGTGTGTGCAGTATGTAGTTTTTCTTTTACTGTTCTCCATCAGTGAGAGCACTCGAAATAATAATATAGAAAAAAAAAGTCATCAACGCAATCAATTATTTACAAATATCTAAAAAAATAATAAGAAGAAAGTAAAACCTTAGGTATGCTAATCAACTAATATGCAAACACAATATTTATATTCTAAATCTTATATTGTTTGGCCATTGTTTACGTTCTTGCTTGAATAATTGCATAGAGTATCGGCCACAGTTAATTAGAAGATACATGAAATTTGATTGATATTTACAATAAGAATGTGAGATTTGTGATCATGTATGAATGGAATGAAGAAACCGAGAGAACGCGTCTTGGACGGATTGAATAACGGGAAAGAAAAAGAAAGGTTCCGATCTTGCACCAATTCAATTTTCTCTAATTTCCTACATGAATTGACCGTTGACGCAGAAGAAAAATAAATAACGGCAAAAGCAGAACATTTTTTGAAATAAGAATAAAATTAACATATTTCATTAGTATTTTTCCAATTGGTTGCTGAATACGTTTAATAATAGCGGAAAATGATGATGGTGTTGAAACCACTTGTGGTATCACAGTAATCTTTGGCGAATGCATACAGATCGAACAAGGATTAATAGATTTTATACTTGTATAACTTTTATCTATTGCATAAAGTAAGTCATTTTCAGAATAGGATTTTTGTTGTACGAAAGATTTTCTTGAACGATCTAATGATTGATAACCAGAAGATGAAAGTTTGGAATCTGTACGCGTAAATTCATCATCGATGATGCTTGATGATGGTTGAATAATTATATTGCTCGTGTGCATAAAATCGAAATCGGAAAATGTATCAAGATCTTCACTACCCGTATCATCTTTAGAAATATGAAAACTATTACTTGCGGCAACAGTTCGATTTACTGATGATCGTTTCAGATGTGTCGAATTTGAAGATGATCGATGAGTGTGATAGTGGTTAGTGACATTTAATTGGTCCAAATTTCTAAAGTTTTGAATCATATGATTGTTTAAAGAATTAAAAAAGAAACGTTATTTATTTACTTCCTAGGTACGTCATTATCTGTTATCACTTTTTGATATGGAATAATAGTTTGTTTTAATGTTTCTGATTCTTTTTCTTGTTCTTCTTCACTGGATGTGCCATAATATCCATTAGTCGCTGAAGGAGGTGGTGAACATAGCACGGGAATTTTTGACGGTTGTGGATGGTAATTAGATGATGCTGAATATTTTCTTTGATCATGATTTTTATCTAAATTCACGTTCTTCAAATGTGTCGATTTCGATCGATTTGTAAAGACTGATGATGATGTCGAATTTCTTCTTGAATTCGTTACTATTTGTTTAACACAATGTGCAAATGCTACCGTTTCCGTTGCATTGCGTAATCGACCATCTTCAGTGAACAATTGTTGATACATAATTTCAATAAACTTTAATGGATCTTCTACGTCAGGTACATCAAGAGAAACTGATTGTGGATTTTGTGAAGAAATCGACATTGAACGTAACGGTGAACAATCTGAACTCGTTGTTGTAAAAGTACGTTGTCGACTATAGTGCGTTGCCGATGAAAATTCATCATCAGTAGGAAGAGTAGATTTTGGTTTAGGCTTCACTGATGATGTTGATTTAACAGTTCGAAACGTCTTCTCTCGCCGAGGATTGACAAAAACAGGCTTATAATTTACTACAATAATATTTTTGTTAGATCGAGGTTTTTTCTTATGTTTGCTATTTATTTTTCTTTCTATAAATGAAACTAATTCTTCGACATTATCTGCTGATGATAATAATGTTTCACGTGAATTAACGGATGACGATGATTGAAAAAGAATCGGTTTCCGGCGTTGAATCGTACGTCGACATCGTCGACGACGAATAAAGACGCGAACATTTTCTTTTCGTTTTGACAGTGCATTTGAAGTCGCATTACCACCATGACTGTCAGCCATGGTTAAATGAAAACTAGACTATAGAAAAAGAAAACTGAATCAATAGAAGTGTTTATAATTTAATTTGAAAAGATATAAAGAATAAAAAGAAAAAATTAAAGGTGTTATACCTCGTGTTTTTGTCGTTGTTGATGTTCTACTAATGTTTGTGATAGAAAGCAATTTTTTTCCTTTGCTCCACTCTTGTCAGCACACCTAGCCTGCTCATGAGGATAAAAAATGGCGCTTGTGTCGATTGCAGGAGTGTCGACAGCAAAATACTGAAATAAAGAAGCTTCTGTCGCTTCTACTTTACTAGTTGATGATGGTGATCGTTTCTTTCGTTCTTTTTTCTTTTTCTTCTCTTTTCTTTCTTTACTTTCAGTTTTCCTTTTCAACCTTGTTTGTTTTCTACGGTGACGTTGAATAAAACAGTCTGTCGTTGATGTAGCTGATGAAGATGATAAAGGACGAATGGCGTATTTATCGTTGTTGGTACCATTAGAAAGCACGTCGTGCTGAAAACCACCATCATTCTGTTTCCATTTCAATGTTGTTTGATTAGAAACCATTGAAGTATTATGAGGGATTTTCAATGTTACCATGTTCTTAGCGTTGAGATGATTATCGTTGCGTTTTTCATAACAATAAGAATGGGTCAGTAATATGAGATTGTTTTTTAATGATGTTGTTGGTATCAAAGATAAATTTGATGAGTTAATTTTTTTCTTTCGTGTTCGTCGCCGATTACGGCAGGTAAACAGCAGTGTTGGTGAAAATAAAAAGTTATCTTTGGATGGCATAATCGAACACGAAAAAGATTTCTTGTTTTGCTCTGTATTATAAACAGAATTTATTGGTGAGCTCTGTTTAAAACAAGTATATTCGTGAGACAATACTTGTTTTAATAAAGAGATAATTATTATTATTATTATTATTATTATTATTATTATTATTATTTTGTTGGATTGCAATAATAATAGGTGACAATATGATTTGAGAACAAAGAAAAATGGGTAGCGTGGTGACGATGATGATGATACGACTAAATCAAAACAGCGCAAAAAACAAATGCGAACGAAAAAATGAAAAATATTCATTAATTAATGATATTAATCTATATAGAAGAAAAAAGTACTAATACAAAGTATGGTGATATATCATATATTTAGAAGCTGAAAGTAATGCACAATATTTACTATTGTGTTCTTTCTTTTCCGATTTCAAAAGCGTCAAAATCACCATACCTCGATTCAATACAATTAATAGGCTTCTTATTGACAAAGCTTTCAGGAGCGAAGACGCAAATCGAGCTTACAAGGTTTCACTCTAATTTTCATCTATTTACAATCAAACTATCTAACGCTACGCGCTATTAGAATTTATTCTTTTGAACATACTACATTGATCGCCAGTGACATATTTTTTCATGCGAAATAAATTGCTCTTACAGTCAGATATGTACATATATGCATGCAATAAAAATAATAAAGAAAACCTGTCCCGAAACTAGTGTAATATACAATAAGCAATACCTGCCCAGAGGGCATACAATTATGAATCATCATCATCATCATCTTGTAGCTAATAATACAGAGGAGTATAAATACATATATGAAATAAACTTGAGATTAAATATTAAAATACAAACTTTGATTCGATTGAGTATAATCGTTTGGATGTTTGTCGTTGTTAATGAATGGCAATCTTAATCGACTTGATTTCGAGGTCAATGTTAGAGAAGCTGATTGACTATCGTTTATTTCTTCTCCTTTCAGTACCTGTAGTAACAAAAAAAAATAAATAAATATGTGTCAAAGTTTAAAGATTAAAATAACAATTCGTTTAAGAGCGACTGTTTTTCTTTGAGTTTGAAAGATTATTAAGTTTTGTTTCATTTTGAATTATATGATGAAAGTAAAAATATCTTTCTTTATTGTCTATTAACGAAATGTAATCTTCTGTTTGAGTTGATTTTTGATATATTACTGAAATAGGCTTTGTAACATCTTTCGTCAATATCTTGTGGCATGATATCGGTTGAAATTTACGAAATTCAATACTACGATTCATAATTGCTTTTGAATATAATATTGGACTCATTTGCTGTTGATGTTCTCGTTTGATCAACGTAACATTTAATTCTGTATCGATTTGTGCTACATCAGCAATGCTATTACTCGGTGAAGTTGTTTGCATAGCACTATCATTGACTTCGATGACTTTTTCGAGCATCGGTTCAATAGATGCTTGACGATGATTATTGCGGCCTATTGTTGATTCTCTTGCGTTTTTATAAGTAAACGGTAAGGAGATTGCCAACTGAGAACGATCAAGGGTCGATGAAGCTTTCTGAACAGATGCAAGCGGAGCAGATGAATCTAAACAAATATAAATTTTTTCAATTGAATATCATCAAATACAATAATAACAAGAAAATAGATAATAACCAGATGGAAATTCATCGAAATCATTTATGTGTGCTGTATCAATAGATCCTTGTGATCTTTGATCAAAAATTATAGAACGTTCATCATCTTCATCACGCTTATGAGACTCATTTTTTATTTTTTCTGGTATTGTTTCATCTAGAGTTGCCGATTGAACAAGACTAGCACGACGTTCATTCGCTAATCGATTTGCTTCTTGTAAAAATGTAAGACGCTGTCGACAAAGATCATCATAGCTAGTTTGACGATTTAATTTTGAAAGATCAGTATCTTTCGTTTCAACGGCATTGGGAAACGATGGAAAATTAGGAGTACACTGTATATTATTTTTAATGTATTCAAGTTCTTCTATTTGATCTTGCATTTGTTTTTGCTGCCAATCCAACCAAAATCTAAACAAGCAATAAAATGAATTGATTCGTTTTAATATTGATAGATCACCTTTCAGGAATTTGATGAGCTCGTTCAAGAATCCTGGATGATAGACCCATTCTTTGACTAGGAATAGAAGAACTTGATGAAGTTGAACTAATTGATAAACTTTGTCGATATGGAAGATTTGATATGCTTCCTTGGCTCACATTCGAACTTGGAGTTATAGCTGCAAACGGTGAATAAGTCGTTGGCATTTGATAGAGAAGAAAATCGGGTACGATTTCTTTTTGAAGTTCTCGAACACGTTCAACTAATTGTTGAAATTGATGTTGAGGACTTGTTGTAGCTGTTTTCATCGATTTAGCTGACGTGTCAGCTAAGTTCTGTCGATATTTACGTTTTTGCTCAAATTGACCGATGGAATTTTGTCTGTTAAGTTCTCCGGATTGTTGTGCTTGACGAACACGCTGCCAATAGTTACTATCAGCATGTGAATCTGATGTTCGATTGTCATCATTGAGACTCGACATTCTCTTCTATGATCATATAATTAATTGAATGAAAGTAAAATACAAAAAGGCATATGGCATTTATGTAAAGAAAATAAAAAAAACGATCATATATCGAAAACAAATAGCATTTGCTTTTCGATATATGATCGTTTTTTTTATTACGCCTATAGATATGAATAGTTTTGCATTCATAAAGCTCAATGAAATATACATTTCAATAACTTATAATTACCCTTACCTCATTAAGATTATTGCTCGATATAACCACCATTATCCTTTTGCATATAGAAGAAATATATATTCTTCTGTAGTATTTTTGCTAAATAAGATATAAGCTTGAATTTCGTCGCCTCAACTTTTTTGTGTCAGTATGGTTTTTTTCTCTACATTGTTATAGGCACCAGCTGGTCTTTATGGATTGTTAAATATCGTTCTTTTTATTTCTTTAAATGACAGAGAAAAAGATAACATCGGACTTCACACAGAACAAGAAAACAGATGGATAACGATAACAATAACAATGAAATAGTCCGATGTTTTTGCAATTATTATTGTGCGTTGGTTGACTGCTGTTCAACAAATGCTGGATAGTGCGAGCATATTTCACCCCATGTTATTGTGCCACTTGAAAGTCCTTGAAGAATACTAGTTATTTCGTCAATCTAAAACAGATCAAAATTAACCATCGGATGTCAATTTGTCAGAAAGATAAATTAAAATTACAATTGGTCCATACGGCAATAGTCTCATAGTCGACATCAAAGAAATAATGACGTGTCATTTTATATCTCCTAATGCTTATAATGATATCCTTGAAAAATAGTCTGCTTTTTTGAGAAACAGGAAATGCATTTTCTTCCCGTTAGACTTCTTTGATTACGCATCAAAGAATTATTTTAAAAACTTCCTTGAAACCGTTTACATTGTTGTTTTGTTTGAAAGAGTACAGACAGAACGCTGCAGTACATGACAAAAGACATTTTTTTGTCGATGAAACTCTAAGAAACTTTAGGTCTCGCTTATTTTTTAAAATATTCCTAGAAAATTGACTGACTAGTCTAAAATCAGTATTTGATGGTTTGTAAAGAGAATTGCTTTAAAGAACTTACTTTAGCTCGTATTTGTTTAAATGTATCACGATCACGTAATGTGACTGTGAATGGTTCTTTAAGAGTATCAAAATCAATTGTAATTGCAAATGGTACAGCGATTTCATCTGAACGTGAATAACGTCGACCAATACTACCACTACTTGTATCTATTTTGTGAGAAATACCACCTTGTGTCAAAAGAGCAGCTAAAGAAAAGAATTTTTATTATCACACCCAAAACAAAATGATCATACATACAAATATCTTTAACAAATGGTTTGAATTCTTCATTGCCACTCAATGGTAAAATAACGCATTTATAGGGTGCAATCAATGGTGGTAATGTAAAATACTAGAATATTTTGCATAAGAAATACAATATAAAAAGTTTTATATGTTGTTTATTACTGTTCGTTGTTCACTCTCGGGTCGAACTCGAAAGTTATGCTCCCACATAGAATACATTATACGGCCAATACCGAACGACGGTTCAATAACCGATGGAACGAATTCTTCGACTAAAATTCAAAACTTTATAACTGAAAACTCCTTTCACTTGTGTACCTTGTACAGTTTTTTCAGATGTTCGAAATGTAAACATTTTTCTTGTGATTGCATATTCTTTGCCATCGATAATAATTGGTACATCGCTAAAATGAACAGAAAGTATTTCTTTATATTTAGAAATCTAAATCTATTTTTTACCCTTGGTCAAGTTTATCGTGTAAGACTTTTGCATCTTCATGAGATAGCTTTTGTAAATGTTGCGTTATTTGATTTGTATCTTTACCATAAGATTTACCAATTACATTTGCATGTGCTAGTACTTCATTAACTTGTATTTTCTTTTGTTCTGGTAATGCTCTTTCGGCAACAAGACGTTCACCACTAAATTTCGAATGTTGTGTTAAATCATAACACGAACGATCGGCACAACCAACGCATTCAACCCATCCATAACTTGTTTTACATTCAGCATCCCAGCAATCGCATGCATAATGAGCCATTTCATTGCCCATATGTTGACGGAAACGTAATCGAGTTTTATCAATACCAACTTTAGTCATGAATAAATAAATACGGCCAATGAAATAACCAAGAGTTTCATTATTAATCAATTTTGAACTAACAGCATCACCTAAACGAACTAATCGAGCTGATTCACCACTCATTTGATTTGTTGCAGTATATAATTGAACTTGAAGATTGGCAACAGTTTCAAATTTAGGATGACTCTTATCAGTTGGATCAACGAAATGTTCAATTTCAGCCATAGTAAATTCACTAAACGAAAGCAAAGACAGTAGTAATGAATGATTTGAAATTTTGTAATTAGTTCTGCCAGATTATTTCAAGAAAATCCATTGTAATGAGCAGCGACTGCCAATATCTTAAGTAAGTAGTCAACGTATTCCAATTTTCCATTTAGCTCATGTTCTGACAACAAACAAAAGAAATCAATTTTAAAGAAGCTACTATTTTCTATTTATTCTAATGTAAAAATCGATTCGATTTCAGATATGGATATAATCATTATGTAGAAAAAATATGTATTAAAAAAGCAGCAGGTTTCCTACTTCAGCTCTCCTAGTTTTATGCTTCGATTTCGTTTGCAAATACAATCAATTCTCCGATCGAATGCCTATTTTGTTTTGAATGAGGATCGTCAATGTATCATCAGTGGTTATATCTCAACCTATCGAATGACACCTCTGCGTACGATCAGTATTTCTGAGGCCAATCGTCCTAACATCGAGCTACTATTTAATTTTTTTTCAGGAAATTAACAAAAATAAAATTAATTTACCGAACTCGAATAAGACCAGAACGTGGTGAAATTTCATTTCGAAACGAATTACCAATTTGAGCAGCAGCAAACGGTAAACGACCTTGATTAAATTCTAGTAAGCGTTTAAAATTAACAAACATGCCTTGGGCTGTTTCGGGTCGGAGATAGCTAAATAAAATTTAAAAAATCAAAATATATTATTTTCAATCGACTATTAATAGATAAATAACCCCTTCAATTGACCAGTTGGACCGATTAAAGTAGCAAACATTAAATTGAAAGCAACCGGCTCTGACAGATCATTATTTGTTACAGGTGATTTCATTTTATATTGTTCAATTACTTGTTGCATATCAGGCCCTTTCATATTGTCAACCTGAGTAAAAACATAAGAAAATTGCTCAATCTTCTCTTTCTAATTTGTCAAAAATCTACCTGTGGTAGTAAACGTTCAATTTCAGCTTTCTTCTCAGCAGTGATATCTTTTGCTTTGAGTAATCTTTCAAGATGTGCTATTTCGAAATGAAATCAATAAATCAATAGTTCTATCCATCTTATTTTACCTTCAATTAAATGGTCGGCTCGAAAACATTCACCTGTTTTAACATCTTTCACCATAAAATCAGCAAATCGGTCAACATGACCAGATGCTCTATAAGAAAAAAAAAGGAACCGAAGTACGACATAATGTCCAAATCAAACACTATCATTTAATCACATACTTAAGAACAATTTCTGGAGTTAGCATCGAACAATCGACTTCGAGCATTTGTTCTTCAAGAATAAAATGTCGACGCCATTCTGATAACATATTAGCTTTTATTGCACAACCCATAGGGCCATAATCGTAAAGACCGTTGACACCTCCATAAATTGAAAATGATTGATCATAGAAAAATCTTCGTTTAAGTAAATCTTCCATTTTTAATCGATCAATGCTTTCTTCTTTTGGCATCGCTTTAGCAATCTCGAAGAAAATAAAACATAAAATTTAGTAACCAATATAAAACTCTATGCTTTCATTCTATTTTACTTGATCCTCAAGTTTTTTTTTTCGTATTTTAAGTTCATTGATAGCCTGTTTAAATTCTGCATCGTCTTTGTTAACATTATTATCTTTCATTTGTTTCACAATATCACCCTAAACGAATTTCCAAGAAAATAGTTAAAAGAAAAATGCAATATAAGTTTCTTCTGTTCTTACTTGAACTTTAACTGCTGCTCGAAATGGTTCAAGAAGTTTTTCAACATTTTCATCACTCATTGGTGTAGCCATGTGTCGTTGAATGAATTGTTTATGTAGATTTGCTTCACGTTTTGTTAATTCTCGTCGATATTGGTAGCGTGTAGTTGATTTATTGAAGAGACAAGATGAATTAATAAATGATCTGAAGTGTGTGCATGGACGTTTAATAAACGAATTGATTAAAAGTCTGACTGAATGTATCGACATAAGCTTTCTTACTTTATCAAAAAAAGAACATCAAAACACCTACGATCTGAAACTGAAAGAAACATCAAAACCTTGTTTCCTTTCTTGTTTGTTTGTGTTTTTATTTTTCAGTCGAAAGAAAAAATGTGTTTAACAAAAAGCATACAGATTAATAATATGATGAAATGTGAAATTCTTTCTTTTTTGTTTTTCTTTCTTTGTTCAATTACTCGGATTGAGTTTCAAAAGCGCAAATTCCTCTGCTAATTTTAAGCAGTGATCTATCTGTTTAGCATCGCAATTTGTTGCTTGAGCTTGGTTATCTTTACCGCCGCCGCGTCCATTGGCTTCTGCAATTACTTTTTGTATCCATTCATTTGCTTTCAATTGTTTTTCCTTAATTTGTGCCTAAACAGGAAATCATTCGTTGTCTAAACAAATCAATGTTCTTTTTGTTTATCTCATACGTACATCAGCTACATTAGCAAGACAAACAAATTTTTCGGTTTCATGATCAACACTGAATAACATAATAGCGACATCATTTGCTTGAGTACGTACTTGATTAATAACTGTACTTAAATTCTTTGTATCATTGCCCATCTCAAAATTTGCAATTAAACATTTACGATCAGGATATTTTGTTAGAATTTCTCGGCATGCATCAACAGCATGTTTTATTTGATTTTTAACGTCAGCTTTATCTAGTTCAATTAATATTGATTTCAATTCTTTTAATTGATTACGTTGAGCTTCACGACGCCATTGAGAAATGTTAGCATGCGAAATGTTTTCATTGAAATCAAAGATTTCTTTATTAAATGTTAAACGTGATGATACCGATGTTGTACTTAACGATGATGAATCACGTAGACGGCGTGATAAATCTTGAAGGCTTGCTTCGAGTTGATCAGCTCGTTTAGTGCACTGAAGAATAAAAACAAGCAAATTCACTTCATAAACAATTAAACGACGTTCATAAATGAGAGATCCATCTCTTGATAGTATCAAATGGCTGTTACGTATAAATATATGTTTTCTTCCCAAACTTTAGTTTCTCATGGTTAATCTAGAAACCTTTCTCCATTTTTTTTGTAGATGTCCGCGAATGTTCTCTTAATTTATACCTAGATTTAATTTATATTAGTATCTTATGCCTTGCTAGTGGACTGAAAATTTCTATTAAGAGAAGAAGTGTAGTTTACAAAATAGACTTGAAATTATTCCTTCGAAATTACAATGCATAACATATTTATTCGATTGATTCGCTTGTATCTCACGAAATCCAATAGAATACTTTTCATTAATAATCTTTGATAGAAATGAATCTTACTTTTTCAGCTTCAGGACCTGTTACAGCAACAACACGTCGAATACCTTTGGCAATAGCTTCTTCCGTAACAATAACAAGTTGATCAACATGTTTACTAGTTTTTAAATGAGTACCACCACAGAATTCAACTGAATATAGTCGTCCATCACATTTAGGTGACTTATTAAGTAAATCTTCGATGGATACACCAATGGAAACAATTCGTACTGGATCTGGATATGTTTCATCGAAAACAGCACGTAAACCATCAATACATTTTGCTTCTTCCAATGAAGCATCTTTAGCATAAACTTGTAAAGATTGATCAATTATGTCATTACAAATAGCTTCTGTTTTTCTAAGCTCATCTGGTGTCAAGGCTCCTTTAGCACTAAAATCAAAACGTAAACGATCTGGTGCAACCAATGAACCACGTTGATCAACAGTATCACCAAGTGTACCACGTAAACCAAAGTTAAGTATATGTGTACCCGTATGATTTTTCATGATTAAATTTCGACGAAAATCGTCTATAGTTAAACGTACTTTATCATTAACACTAAGTGTTCCTTCGACAACACCAACATGGAGAATAAAACCACCACGTACTTGAACAGTGCGAACCTAGAATTTAATAGGGTATGTAAAATGTTGTATTAATTTATATTGAAATAGTTAGAAAATGAGTTAGAGTCAGTTTAAATTAGTACCATTGTGTCGTCTGAACTAAATCAGAATACGATCTCTTACTAATTTGTTGTATACAGGAACTTGTAGGCTTAAAAAATGGGTTCAAATATGAAGTCCTCTCGTTCATATTAATGATTGTACGTTTAGTTTCGTAGTAATATTAATAGATATATTTAGACTAGCTCTTAAATTGCGAAATGTATGATAACAGTACAACGATTTTTCGATCAGGGTCCAGGTAGACGCGTGCAGATAAATTCTGTCAAAAATCACTCAGCCTGCTTAATCCTAATCAGTCGTTGTTGAGAAAAAAATCACTAAATAATTATTCTTACTTGAAATTCTACATTTTCATCATCTTCTTTAACAATATAGCCTTCATCATAAGTTTGTCCACCAGCTTCTGCATAAAAGCATGTACGATCAAGTACCAAACCACATTCTTGTCCTGAACTAATTGAATTCACAAATTCTTTACCACTTCGAATTGCTAAAATAGTGGCTTGAATCGATGGAAAAGCTAAAGAAACAACAGCAAAATATAAACAAATTTTCACCTATCGAACTATGGTTTTTACTATATGTGCCTTGTGCATCACATTTATAATCATATTTCGATGAATCATCAGTTGGCTTGATGCCTTTTGCTTGTTTGAGTTCATCAATAGCATGTACGTCAAGTGTACATTGAACTGAAGAACAAGAAAGCTTATTAAAACAGACGAATTTCTATGGAAACAATGAACCTTGAGCTTGTTCACCGCTTGTTTGTTGTGAAGCAGTTAAAGATTTTTGTCGAGCTTCTTCAAATAACTTCATATCAAATGTTAAACCACGTTCTTCACACATTAATTGTGTTAAATCAGCCGGAAAACCATATGTATCATATAAACGCCAAACAATATCGCCTATTGATATTAAAAGTGCTCGAAACCTAAATTCTATTAGTAAAATAATGTTTACCAGGGAATGTTGTTGCATTTCCTAACGATGATATTGTTTTACTAAGTAAACGTTGACCACGTGTTAATGTACGTAAAAATTGTTGTTCTTCATCATTAATTATATCTTTAACTAATTGTGGATCTTTATGTAATTCCGGAAAGAATGAACCAAGAATTTCAACAACAACATCAACAAGAGATGCAAGAAAGCCAGGTTTAGCTTGTAACTTTTCTGATGAATAACGAATAGCACGCCGAAGAATACGTCGAAGAACATAACTAAAAATAAACGAAAGAGATCCTATTATAAAATAACCACATCGTCAAGGAAAATGAATGAGGATTACTAATAGAACTGATACACAATAATCGGTTACTATTCGACTTACCGTCTTTTGTTATTATGATCAATGATTACCGAAGTAAAAAATCAAAATCATTGCCTTGATTATAATGTCATTCGTACGAAGTATAATTTACTGTGATTAATAAACAATACGCATTTGTCAAAAACAAAAGGCATGGATGAATGAAAACGAAAAAGAACTCCGATATAACTTAGTATCTGACCATCTATATGTAAGTGCGAATTTTCGAAACGAACTTACCCGCGACCTGTTTTATCTGGTCGTCCGCCATCACTTATCGAAATAGTTAATGTTCGTATATGATCAGCAATAACTCGATAAGCCATGTCCATTTTATCACTATCTTCAGCGCCAACTTTACCTGTGTAAGTTCGTGCACCAGTTCCCTATTGAAGAAAATATTCTTATGATTTACTTAGTACAAATTCGTTACGATTTACTTTTTCAATTGCAGCAAATATAGGCATAAATATATCCGTATCATAGTTTGAACGTTTATTTTGAATCACTGATGTTAAACGCTCAAAACCCATACCTGTATCAACATGTTTTGCTGGTAATTCACGTAATGAACCATCTTTTTCTCTAAAAAAAAACCGGCAAATACTGAAAATTGATAAAAATACAAATTAAAAACTTGATACAAAACCTATTGAATTGAATAAACACAAGATTCCAAATTTCTAATACATCTGGATCGTCATGATTCACAAGATGAGCTGCATTTCGACCACCAATACGATCAAAATGAACTTCTGTACATGGGCCACATGGGCCAGTGTCACCCATTTCCCAAAAATTATCTTTCATATTACCCGGAAGTATATGATCATCAGGTAAACTAGAATCAAACAAATAATTTGAATATAATACCCTTCAAAGATCTTTACTATTTTTTCCATAGATTTTGTGTTTCGATATCTGGTTGAAGATTACTTTTTGGATTTCCTTCAAAATATGTCGCATACAAACGACTTTTATCTAATTTGAATACATCAACAAGTAATTCCCAAGCCATATCAACAGCTTTTTCTTTGAAATAATCACCAAATGACCAATTTCCAAGCATTTCAAAAAATGTATGATGATATACATCTTTTCCAACATCATCTAAATCGTTATGTTTACCACCAGCACGAATACATTTTTGACTATTGGCTGTACGTTTATATTTTCCCATGTCACTATTTGGATCGGCTGTACCAAGAAAACATGGTTTAAACTATAAGATATAGGAGAATATTTTCAAGGTAACAAAAAAATGTCGATTCAATCTACTTGATTCATTCCAGCATTAGCAAATAGTAATGTTGGGTCATCCAGCGGAATAGTTGATGATGAATGAACATAAAGATGCCCATGCTTTTTAGTAAAAAAATCGATAAATGTTCGTCGAATCTCTGAGGCAGACATGGAGGTCAATTGAAATGTGTATCTAGTATAAAGAAACAATCTATTTTAAGAGAAGTAAAGTATGATGCAATGACATCTGTGACGAATTTTATCCGATATTCTGAAATAGCCTCTTCTTTCATGATGTAATAGTTGATACATAATAAACAAAGAATAATCGAAGAAAAATTAATAATATTTCGAAATAAAGAAACGGAGAAACGACGGATTTGGGTCAATCGACCGTTTGATGGGTGGACGGATAAGATGATGACGAAGCTCATCGAGTCGAGAGAGAAACGAATCGGATGATTTTTTCAGTAGATGGCGTTAATAGCATGCATTTCACTGCAAGCTAATGTAATATATAGACCTTGCACTTATATTGCAATCATGATAGATTTGTATGATGCAATCAATATCCATTCTCCAAACAAGTAGCTCAATCAAGGATAGACTAGTACGCATGCTACTCTATCACAAGAAAAAGAACAGCACGACAATTATCCTTGTAAACCTCCATGTTTTATACATTTGCATAATAGTGTTCTACTGTCACAAACATTTTTCCAGATTACGTCATTATTATAAACCATACAAGAGTAACAAGCATTTAGAGCTATCTATCTTTGTGTTTTACCAAAATATGATTTTTGCAAGGGCTTTGAGTAGATGTCAGGGTTGCCACCTCTTCTGTTTTTTCACTTTTCCCCGCTATTTTTCCGCTGTTCCATATAAAACATGTTGCATATCAAACATACGTACAGAATAATATTTTGATATTATTGAATCAATTCTTATTGTTTACAAATACCGCGAGTCATCATTTTTTATGTTTTGAAACTGTGATGAAATAAAAAGAAATACAATAAATATGAAAAAATACCTAATATTCTCAGAAGCATTATAAATCTGCAACAATATAAGCTTCCGCTTTTTCTGTCTTTCTTTCCGCTATTTTCCGCTTTTTAGACTTCATCAGGTGGCAACCCTAGTAGGGGTGGCACTTTACGTTAATTTAATATTAAGTGTTAAGTAAAACTACTTAATTAACTCAAATTAAGATCAACGGTCCACCCCTAACTTTGAGTATATAGAGTCAATATCCCTAATTACGACAGTAAAAAATTCACTTCGATTGTTCAACTTCGTTCGTGGCCAATTCACTTTTGAATAAAAGTATATTTATATGTGCATGATCCTTGAAGTCTCTTCTTTCGAATGGTATGCTTTGAACTTCACTCACTTATATAGTTCTCGAGAAATTAGCGGTCTACAATGAAGACCCTTCGTTATCATTATTATAGTTACTTTCCTTAATTACAACAGTAAGCTATTTTTTGTCCCTAATTACGACACTCTAACAAAATTCAAGCAAAAATATTTCTTTCGAGAAAAACTCCGTTTTTACATATGTTTCGTAACGGATACAGGAAAGGCAATTTTGTAGAGCATGTCCAACTCTATAATCGCTCAAAGGTTCATATCACATTAATGCTGATTTTATGGAAATAGATTTTCTCAAATAAGAAGGTGTCAAATCGAAAGAAATATTTTGTCCTTTATTACGACAAATACACTAAAAACCCTCTAGTCTTAAAAAAGAGACTAAACTTACATTACATATGAATAGTACCATGATTCCTGAAGACTTTTCATAGCACGGTTTCATACTTGAGAAAAAATACATTTTTTCGTGTATGTGGTCCGCCTCCCAGGTCGTGCAATCCGAGTATAGGAGCCGATCGAAACCTATCCGATCCGACAAGGAAACCAACGAAATCCTATCGGATTTCACAAGGATTTAGCGCAGTTCCTATCGGATTCCGGTTTCAGGAATTGATGTTGGATCCTCAGGGTCGGATTCCAATAAGTTCCTGAATACAGAATCCTACAGAATTCTAATCTAGGAAAGTTTCCAAATCCGACAATCCAATTACCGAGAAATTCCGACTGTATCCAAAGCGCGGATGGACCCAAATTCCCATTGGGAAAATTCCCATGAAATCCACATCGGATACCAAACTAGTTTCCTAAGGAACTCCGACAGTATCCGCAACTAGGGTTCATCCATATTCCGATCGGTGATAGTTCCGATAAAAAACTCATAGAAAACTGTGGGATTTTGTCGAGATCCCACCGTATCCTTTAAAAATCCAACAATAGGATCCCAATACAGATCCAACCAGCAAAAACCATCGGATTTCTCCAAGGTCCTATCGAATCCAACAAAAATCTTCTAATATCCGACATTCGGAGTTCAAAGGCGCTCATAAATCTCTGCCCAAGTCCACACTTTTCAGAGCATCCCATACAAAATTCGACACCAGTAAATATAAATTCGGCTGATTTTCACTCTTTATATCACCAACTTATGCAGAGCTCACGAAAAGACAACTTTGCACTACTCTGACAAAAAAAGCGCCGAATGATAAACGTTTAAAGCGTTTATGAAAATGCAACGTATGATATACCCTTTTCTACCGTTTAGCAGCATGCGATAAATCCTTTTATCTACCCATCAAAAGACGAAATAAAACGGTTTATCAAGCGAATATACCGCGTGTCGAAAGGGTTATCATAGCGTTTATACGACTCAACAACTTTAAAAGGGTGCATCATACGTTGCATTTTCATAAACCCTATCGAAGGTGTTAGAGAGTACTCTAACAAGTTATTTATTTATTTATTCTTATACATTCTTGTTTCGTCTTTATACGTTATGTATTTCTTATATGTGCAATCCAACTCGAGATGCGCATACGTCAACTGCTCTTTTTCATTGTTTCTTTCATCTCTCTGCATATCTCTCTATTGTGTCTTATTTCCTCTCATGTGTGACGACGTAAATAACGGCATCGTTTCTTCGACTGGAATTTAAGTACATTTATAGAATGATGCACCATCATCTTTATATACAAAATAGTCTAGTTGAAGAAGCAAATGCCTTTTCTTCCTTTGTTTCTTTTCTCTCTCTCTCTCTCTCTCTCTTGTGGGTGTGTGTGTGGGTTGTATAGTATAAATAGAAAAAAAAAGAATAATAAAGAAAAGATTAAGATTCAGATTAGGAATCGAAAATAGGAAATTTGTTGTTGACTGGTTAAATAGAAATAGAAATAGAAATTTTGTGAATTGATTTAAGTTACAGCGGAGCCTCTGTAACACTTTCTATCTCAGTTTTTTCAATATCTTCATATTAAACACAAAAATGCATGCTTATCTTTCCTCATTTTAGCTGTCATTATTATCTACACTGCTATATTGTAAAAATCAAATAAGCCACTGATGTAAAAATATCGATGATCGAATAAGACTACTTACCAGCCGATGTCAAAATGTTTATTTTTTAATGTGAGTCTACAAGAGGTATTACTTTGGATTAGGGGTGGACCATTTTTTTTAACGGAACTTAATTAATGACATTAATTAATGACTTCCATTAGCCATTAATATTAATGGTTAATGTTTTCTAAGAAAAACTTAATTCATTAATATTAATGATTAATGAAAAACATTAACATTAATTTTAAAATTAATGTTTTCATTAATCATTAATATTAATGTCAATGTTCTTGAATGATATTAACGGTTAAAGGAAACATTCACCATTAGTATGAATAGTAATGTTTTCGTTAATATTAGGGATTATATTTTCATTAATCATTAATATTAATGTTAATGTTTTCATGAAAACATTAATTTTTCCATATTACTGAATTAGGCTTTTCTAAGGAAACATTATCTACAATTATTAATCAATTAACTGATCTTAATAGCTAATGTTTTCTCCGAAAGTGTTAATTACTTAATATGGAAAGTTATAATGCTTTCATGAAAACATTAACCATTAATATTAAGTCATTGATTTTAATGAAAACATTAACATTAATATTAATGATTAATGAAAGTATAATCCATAATATTAACGAAAACATTGCTATTCATACTAATGGTGAATGTTTCCGTTAACCGTTAATATCATTTAAGAACATTGACATTAATATTAATGATTAATGAAAACATTAATTTTAAAATTAATGTTAACGTTTTTCACTAATCATTAATATTAATGAATTAAGTTTTTCTTAGAAAACATTAAGCATTAATATTAATGGTTAATGAGAAACATTAACATTAATATAAAATTAATGTTAATGGCCCACCCCTACTTTGGATATATAGTCGTTACATATTTTTTCTTTTTTTCTAACATAAAATGTTTACCGCAGTCAATGAAGTGTGACTCTAATTTCACTGTTTCTTAATTTCGCATATCAAAACATTGTTTCATGTACACCGCCAGTTCGCCAAATAAGTGATTCATATTTTTCTTTCAATTGTGACCAGTGCAAAAAAAACGATGGGCATCTTACTATTTCTTTTCATCAAGTTAGCGCGTGAGTGACTGTATAAAATAACATTAACCAGACACAGACCCTCACACCGACACCTTAAGAAACCATTTTTGACGCAAAAGTAAAATAATCAACCCCTGTACGTAGAGTAATAAAATTTTCCGATCAAACAGTAGAACAATCGATTTCTCTACGTAGAATGATAAACCCTTTCGATGAAAGAGCGGAAATATCAACTCCTGTACGATGAACACTGAACTCCTTTCAACAAAAGAGAAGTAGAATCAACTATCAACCGACGATAAAACTATATCTTGAGATGCTAAGATAGATAAGCCGATATTTGTCAGTAGAATAAAAGAACCTGTCAATGAAGAGGCATAGAATCGAGCATTCACGTACAGTACTAAACCCTTTTTTTTATTAAGATGTAGATAAATCAACTGTTGAACGTGGAATACTAAACCCTTAGCAGGAAATGGTAGCAGAATCTACTCTTAGGCGTAGAATAATGAACTGTTTCTGAGAAGGGTAGCTTACTCTACGCAGAAAGGCAGAGTGATGTACCCTTTTAACGAAAAAGCAAAATAGTAAACCCGATAACGAAGAATAAAATACCCCTACTTTGAAACTGAACAACAATCTACTATCATCCGTTGACGGATA